TCCACCTAAAATGGCGTCTTAGCAACAAATGTCACGTGACTGGCGGAGACCGACTGGGTAAGCAAATCGAGCGTGCCTTAGACCTTAGAGAAGGCGCGCTCGATTTGCTTACCCGGTTGTCCAGGAATGATATTAATATTATTAATAAGTATTTCGTGCGCACGTTAAACTTATTGTGTGGCCACGAAGTAGTATTTCGTGGGCACGTTATACTTATTGCGTGGCCGCGAAATACTACATTGTGCGCACGAAATACTACTTCGTGGCCACAATTAAACATTTTTTTTGACCATGTCATCAGAGGGGCTCCGTAATATACCTATTGGATCTGCGTTGTGATTTAGTTTGAATGCATTCCTTTGTGTGTGTGTGTGTCCTGTTTTGTCAATATAGCTCTGGGAATCGCTGTCACATAGCTAGATGAAAGCCCAACACATTCATTTTCACTAGCAGATCATCATGACTGTTGTCAAAATGTTCTGCTTGGTACTTGTATACGAAACTTTATTGAAAATGATTTAGGGAGTGAAATGATACACAACAGAGATGGAGACGGAAAGAGAGGTTAGAAAGAAACAGTGGATAAGAACTAAGGAGAGAGAAAAAGAAATAGAGACCGGAAAGAGATCATGAAAATAGAGAAAATAAAACACAACAACAAAAAAGTCCACACAGAAGATATACAGTAACTAGAAGTCTGCTTCCACATCTGTATGAGATGAGAGGGGAAAAAACTGCAAACATAACAACAGCAAAACAAAGACAACAGACAACCAAGGTATACATCAATAAAAGTTGCCAGAGCAACAGGTTTCTCTTAAATATCCATGTGTGTGGAAGGAAAACCAACAGTGATTACACAATATTATTCAGGGTCAGTGGCGCTACCAGGGGGTGGCCATGACCACCCTGTGCAATGCCCTGGCTAAAACACTGGCCACCCCACTCCCCAGTGTCATTTGTAGTATTATGTACAGCCAGCGACGTAACATTAAAAAATCATACAATAAACCATGACCAGGTGTTTACTTAAGTCTTCATGATTTCTACAGGCAGGTTTACCACAACAGTAGATTCAAACCCTGAAATTAAGGCTTTAGTTTCAGTGGCCACCCCAAGATTTTTAGTGGCCCCATCTGCCCCATATCTGTAGCTGTAGCTTAGTATTTAGTATTAGTTTGTGTATTTGTGTATTCCCTGCTCAGAGCTTTGGGATTACTGATCCCTCCATTGCAGGCCAGTTGTAACCCAGGTGTAAACTTTAACTTCCATTCCCTAAATCTCCTGCATTCCACTCCCTGGCCCCTGTATCTCTCAAATTTTACAATAGGTTTTCTTGCCAGACTACCTCACAGCCAATCGCTG